GTTTATAAACGTTAAAAGCATTGATTAATGAATTAACCGTCATCATGAATTTTTATTTTTTTTGTCTCAAAGGAAAAGCTTAGCATTTAAAAATTCGAAACCCCAAATTGAATGTCTTGATTTCAAATTTTGAAAAGAAAAAAAAATCCCTTATTATATAAAAAATAAAAAAAATTGAGCTTAATAATATTTTCAGATGATCACCTCTTCATTACAACCTTTTCTAATCCTTTTTAATGTTTTCATTTTTTTCGAACATGAGAATCATCAGACATATGCTACCTTAAAAACCAAATTTATTATTTATTTATTTATTTATTAGATAAATAAATTATTATTTCACATATATTATTTTTCTGTGTAAAATTTCTCTCGCTGGTTAAAACAACTATGTTTGTTGAATACAAAATCACTATTAAAAAAAACCATATGCAGAGTTTTTCTAGCCACTTTCGTGCCAAGTTTGGTCAAGATTGAAAAATGCTTTGTTTTATAGTTAGGCTAAGTCCAAGCTTGAGTTCATAAATAAAATTCGTTGAATTTGAAAGAAAATTAAATAGAAATTAAAAAAAAAAAAGAAAAAGAAAAATGGTTAGATCCAAAGAGCTCTTTTTCAAACATTGTTTGTTGAGCTAACACTAATCTAGCTAGACGCAATTCTTCAGCCCATTCTCCTTTTAATGGTAGGTAAAAAAACAGCTGCTTAGCTACAATAAAATATAACACACTTCTTCATTTCATATTTGGATAATATTTTCTTTCCTTCAGTTAATTTATTTTTTAAGTATAAATGAATCAAATGCGAATAAATTTTATTATATTCCTTTAATGGTAGGCCAAAGGCAAAGGGCTAGAAAACAGCAAAACGACATAGATTTTTCTAGTTTTCTCTCCTGCATGGGAGAATTTGCTGAAAATAAAAAATATATATTATAAATTTTACTTTTTGTAATAAAATTTTTTTTCAATAAATGGTAAAATCTTAAAAAGAAATTTTAAAAATCAATGACATTGGAATTAAGTGAGCTTGGCTGTTCTAATTTTCAAGAATCGAATTAGGTTGTTGCAGCCAAAAAAGAAAAAAAAAATTGTCCTGATTTGGAATTAAATTTAATATATGTACTTGGGATTTATTTTACTTGTAATATTGTAGAAATATATGACAGCGACTTCATTGATTCACTTAAGAAACAAAATGTAATTTTCTGATCAATAAATTAAACAAGATACACATATAACATTAAATAGTTAAATTGAAGCAAAATCATTCTAGTAACAGTTTTTTTTTTTTTCGCTACATAAAATTTAAATAAATAAATTTTTAATTTTTTAAATTAAAATAAAATGTATTGTATCTCGAGATTAACATTAATAAAAAATCAGAATTGATGAAATTTATAAACTCCAAAATTATTTATTTACGTCGAAACAAGCAAATCTATCAATGGAATGATCGAGCATCAACCCTTTGCATTAAAAAAAAAATGGCATATATGTTGCACGTGCTATTGGCAATCTTACAGTAAAAGCAAGATGCAAGATTTGTTATGTCTAGCCGACATGTGAACACTTCTAAGGTTATAAAATCAGAAGATATATATAAGACATGCAATGAATGAAAAATCAGTAGGTTGCTGGGTAGCTGTCTTATATTATTGTATGTATTTCTATACATGAGATGGTGCTATTAATGAAGGACAGTGGTAGGTTTGGAAGTTGTGGTTCACGTGACTTCGGCCTAGCTGCCAGCTGCCGATCCGTACTTCAAACTTCACCTACTGCCTGTTTACTTCATTTAAGATTGTATAGCGACTTCGTTTCGGCAACTGTGTATTAATATTCCATGGCTACAACTTAGTTTGCTTCATGTCCATAAGCTTTCATAGATGTGACGTACGGTCGACAATATATAGAGCTAGCTGCAGCCGAAGATATCAACAACTTCACACTTTTAATATATATATATATATATTTATATATTTGCAATGAATATACATGCAGAAGCTCGGAGATTGGAGTTCAATGGTGGATCTTGATCTTTAATTTTGAGGGAGTGAAAATAATAATTTATAATAATGTTTTTAAAGAAATATCAAATCTATTAATAATAAAAATAAATATAAATATATAATAACAAAACTTATAATTATAAGTATATTAATTTATAAATATATATACAATAATAACAATAACAACACACTAAACTTTATATTTCATACTCTAAAATTATTTGTATGAAAAAACTAATAAAAAAATCAAATTAAGTTATAGTTTGAATTTTTTTGCGCTATTTATTTTTTTTAATAATTACTTTTTCATCTTATTCCTTAATTATCATGTATATATATATATATATAATAAAATGAATATATTAAACAATTGATCTTATGATTTCTAATTATAAATCACTAATAATATTCTTTACAAAAATAAAATCATTATTTTTTTTGCAATATTATAAATTATTTAATAATATTTAATATTTAAAGTATTAAAGTGAAAATCACAAAAATATTTTTCTAAATAAATTAAATTTTAAAATAATAAAGGAAAGACTTTGATAAAATAAATTAAAACCTTCTAATTTTTAACATAGTATTTTTATATTATGAAAGATGAAAATGTATTTAAACTAAGTATATTAATTATTTTGACATGTAACAATTTTCAAATAAAAGGAGCATGTAAAATATAGTAAATTGATTAAAAAAATAATCACAATTAGATATTTGTCAAGTTAATTTTTGTTATTATAATATTTGTAAAATATAATTACAAAATTTATTTGTATCTAAATATTACAACTCTTAATTTCAAAAAAAAATTATAATTCTTTAAGTTGTGTTTACTTATTATAAATAATTTTCAGTTAAAATTAAAAATAAATTTTTCAACATTATATTTTCATAAACATATAAATTTAAGTTTAATAATAATTTAAGTGAATTGAGTGATGGATATGTGGGCCTTAATCTCTAGACCAAGGTTTGGGGTTTCATAGAAATTGAGTTTTTCATAGGTCGACTCAAACCCGGTTGATTTTCGAATATTTTTATCTAAAACTTATTCTGCCTGGTGCAATAAATTGAAATTTTTTAAATATTTTAAATATATTTAAAAATTAAATTTAAATTTAAAATATTTTTTCTTCATTAAATAATATCTCGGACAGAGCCTAACTCAAGTTTCAAACGTTTTGTCCAAAGTCTGGCCCGTGTAAAAACCTAGCCCACCAAATTAAAAATATTTGTATGTCAGGAGTTCGGATATGTTTTTTTTTTGGTCTTGCTGCCATTTTTATTATAATTTTGTTTAAGTTATAATTATAATAAAATATTATATTTATATAATTATTAAGTAATTAATTAATAATTAAAAAATTAAAATATAATTAAATAATCAAACCTACACACTCGTTTCTAAATTTCTTGCTACTAAATCAAAACTTAATTAACCTATTCTATTATAATTAAGTTATATTATAAAGTTAATTTTTTTGTCATCCATATCAGTACTTTAACTCAAATATGAGTGTCGGTTATGAATATATATCTTAAATGATTATTTTTATTTTTTTAATGTATATAAATTTTGATAAAAAAAATGCAATTTAAAATAAAAATTTTTGAATATTTTTAATTTCAAATTTGTTAAATCAAATTGGCAAAAATTATCATATTATTTTGATCCAAATTAATTATGAATTTAATTTTGATAGAAAATAAAAAATATATAAAATTTATATTGATGTAAATGAATATACTCTAAAACATAAATATTAAAAAAAAAAGATAAACATAGATAGTCATCCACTTTATTACTATGGTCGTCTTTAAGGATTATTTCTTTGTTTAATTAAAGAAAAAGTAAGAAAGAGAGAGAGAAATATAAAAGTAGTTGGTTATTGTGTCTTTCATCATCTATAACTATATATAATCTTTCTAAAAAAAATCATAGTTTTTGGCGAATATTCCAATTACTGATATGTTGTTGGAATGGGAATCAACAATTGATGATCCAATCATGGGCAAAAGAAAATAAAAGTAGAATTGATGCTAAAACAAATGGGTAAGGGCCATTCGCCATTGCATCTGTTTCTCTGTTACCTTATTTTGGTGTTTTAATTTTGTAGGCCTTTTTCCTTGAGTGTTGGGTTTCAAATCTGGCCTTATTCCGAGAAGAATGTAGGAGGGGTACTTGACATTTCTATTGGAGGAAACCCACTCACCGGGGAACAGATGTAAGCACATAAATTATAGCTCAAATTTCATGTAAATGCTTCAGATTCAAAAGAAGAAAAGAGAAAATATTATTCAATGTAGACTTGGAAAGTAGGAATATCATATAACTTGAAGCTGAATTTTTTGCACAACTGACCAAATATTAAGCGAAGTAAAATGAAACCCAAAATGTTACACTATTATGCAAAGCCAAACTTTCAGCAACACTAAACCTCGGATGATTTTCCTTGTGGGGGTGCTGAAGGTGAGGCTGGAGCTGAACCTGGTGGCGCAGGTGGCCCAAAATATTGGGGAGGTCTTTCACTTTGACCCTGAGCTCTACCCAGAAGATAAAATGCAAGGGCTAGGATCAAGATGAGCAAGATCAATGGAAAAGATAACACTAGAACATAACCCATCTTGCAAAGAGTAGCTAGATTTCAATGGCAGATGGGCTATATCCCTTTCTCAAATTGAATTAAGTTGCTTTTCCTTTCTTCTTCCCTTCACTGCTCTTTTTAAACAGAGAAATCTGGAGAAACTGGTGGCAGCAGATAAAAGTACGCGTATCAAATATCATCCACGTGTCTCCACACTACTCAAGTTTTATGGCCGCCTTATTTAATGAACTTTGTTTTCTGGGTAAGTTCTAAAAATCCATAGTCCAAATTTCAGCCACAAAACACTTTTCTGATCAGCACACCAAGTTAGAGCTCTAATCCAACAAGTTCAGTTCAGACACAATAATACTGCCAATGCAGGCTACCAAATGTTGCAGAATGAGCCAAGTGAAAACCCAGAGAGATGACAAACAGACTTTAGTAACTAAAAACTACATTGCTATAGATCAATTTCCACCTTCCTTCTAATCCATTTTCTTTAATTCAGCTGCAATTAAAACACATCCAGAGAACTTTTATCCGAAGTATATATCACATATATGGAAATAAAAATTGCAGCGCTGACTTTTAATACACGAGGTAGAAGGGGGAGGGAAGAAGTGGGGGTTGGTTTTGACAGTCCTGTGAGAAAATGAGCTGCCTTTCAAAATCAAAACAGCTCAACAACCGTGACATAGAGGAAAACTGGAATGAAAGCTATGAACTATAAGAAGCCACCATTGGAGCTGATGTCGGAACCTTGCGTGATCCAGATCCCTCATGGGTGCCAACTGGTTTGTTGGACAATCGTCGCTTGTAGCGTTTAAGGACAGATGCCAAGTTCTCTTTTCCCTTTGGAAAAGCTACATCACCAGCAGCAGTACCTGTTCGACCCTTGCGGTAAGATATAGCAGTCTCCACATCCTTTATCATATCCAAGAGCGTAGCTGCAGTTGTACTCTTGCCCCTGCCAGGTTTTGCAGCTGGGGGCAACATTCCATTGGAAACAGAAGGACTTGATCTCTGCTGATATTCTGCAGGGATTTGAACGCAGAAGCATGGGGACATTGGGGATCGAGGCTTTGAAAATGCAATATCAATCACACCCTGTTAACGAGAATGATCACTGTTAATTTCATCAAAATAAAGGAGAAACCAACAGAAAAAGTATCACAAACTCTTCAGCCCAAAAAAAAAAAAATCCAAAAAATCAGCTATCAGGCATAGGCTCTCTGAAATAACACTTGCAATCAATTTTCCAATGAGGAAACCTACTAATACATAAACATACAACTGCAGCTGTGACAATTTAAAAAGAAACCAATCATGAATAATACCCTGAGAACGACACTCCTTCCTTAATACTCAAATGCTAGGAGAACAATAATCAGAGTCAACAATTTATATTATGGCTACATGCATTAACTAGATAAGGAAGCAACTACAAAAAATATACCTGGAGACGATTAAGCACGTAAGTGTATTTTCCCCACAGCTCTGGTCGGCTTTCCATCAGCGAAAGATCAAGTATTCGGTGAATGCACCACACTCCGAAGCTTATTATCAAATCCACTTTCCAAATACAACCCTCCCCACAATGAGGAACTGATGAAATTGAAAACTTGGTAAAACTTGCCTCAACACTCTTTGGTGTAGAACCATACCTCCCTTCAGAAGACAAATATTGAGGTTCACCCAGCTGAACAACCTGGTTCATCTCTCTAGCTTCAGCATCATAAAGAACTCTCTCCCTTGCTGCTACACGATCAATTAAATCTTCATCAGCTCCATCATTTTGTCCAAACAACCAGTCAGACCCATCTAATTTCAAGAGCCTTACTATACAATGTCGGAAAGATTGAAGAAGCTTGGACTCTAAATCCACACTAGAAGCAGTATCCTGAGTTACTGAGTTCAACCCACTTCCACATGCTTCACTGCCAGCAATGCATCTTTTCTCAGCTATGCCAAACTGCTCAAAAGGCTGTCTAGACCAAAGGGATCCAGTGTCTGAACTTGAACTCAACTGTAGGGGCAAAACATCTCTGTAAACCTTTAATTGAGAAGGCTCATTAAAGGCCAATGGAACTCCTGCCCTTGAACCAGCATTTGAATACATGGATGTTTCATAATTTGTCCGACCAATGGACGACCCATATCCAATGGAATTGTCCCACTGAGCACTCTTCTCAGACATGTATGGATCCTGATGAGGAACAGAGCGTCCAGAAATGTCCGGTAAGCTATGATACTTCTTTGCATTGAGTGATATCCCAGAATTATCATTAGTTCCAGAGGAACTGATGTCATAATAAGATCTTTGGGATTGTAATGGACTATTTCTAGAAACTGAAACATTCTGAAATCCAGGGGCTTGAGCAGGAGTTATCCCTTTTTGCAATTTTTGCCCTAATGTGAAACCCAATGAGTCTCCATAATTTGTAGTGCCCAGGGCAGGAGATTTTGATGCTAGCAATTCCATTTGACCATTCGAGCAAATGGAGCTTCTATCCTTAGCAATTCGATTGAGATAAGATGCAATCTGATATCCATGCACTGTAGCTGGTTGATAATCCCATGCATCAGCAGATGGTGCAGCACGCAAACTAGAGAACCTCCTTTCACCAGAATCAACATTACAGCTTGAATTTTGAACATAAGTATCCGATAACTGCATGTGGTTTGACCACAAGGATGAAGATCCTCTTGAATAACCATACGATGAATCAATACTATTTTGCACCTTCAGTTGCTTCGAAGAGTCATACAGACTTGAATTAATAAGCACATCAGATCCCCTTCCTCCTACTGAAGGCAAATACCCACCATAATCCTTCCCAGTTGTATCCACTTTTAATGGTTTCGAATCAACGCCTAATAATACATCTAATTTCTTCACCTTTGCTTCTTGGGTAGGTTGCCCATGAAAATCATACAATTGGCCCCAAAATTCATCAAGAATGGCAGCTAATTGACGCCTTGCAGTGCGACCTAATCCTGCTAATCTAGAGAGGCTCCCAGTACCATTCCCACCATCCTCACTTTTACCACTAAGGCTCCTGAATGAAGGAGGGCCATCTGGTGTTAAAGAGGAAATGCTTCCGGAAGGAGGTTTGGATGGCTCTTCAGGCTCCAACGCATCTCCATCATCATCATCTTTTTCAATCTGCAGATCTCCCTCTAAACTCACTGTTTTCTCCACAGGGTTCATTGATTCAATCTTCAGAGTCCTGGTGCCTGGTGAATCATCATCTAAAACCTCATTAACTACAGTGGAAGCTGACTCAATTATGGATGCTGACTCCTGGGTGTTACAGACTGAGGGGCTAGTATATATACTATTAGAAGAGTTCTCATTAACAGTAGTCAAAGGTATTTCCTGGTCAGACTCCATAATTGTTTCAGGCAAATCCAGATCATACTTTGAAAAGGATAAATCTGAATGACTTTCAATAGACTTTTCTGGTTCTGATGATCTTTCCTGCATATGAGCAGCTTCCTCAATATGATATCTAGTTTCATTTAAATCATTTTCCTCCCTCTCTATAGCTGCCTCAGAAACAGTTCTGTTCAAATCCCATTTCCATGCATGAGCTTCAATTCTGGAACTAGCAGATTTTAAAGGAGTAGCTGCTAGCCAGAGCATCAAAGAAAATGATGTGCAAGCAGTAACAAGAAGAATAACAAAAGGAACAGACATGCTAATCCCAGCATTCAAATTAACAACCCAATCACTATTTCCAAATATCATTTCTACCACAAAAATTATCTTTAGGCCCACCATCCCCATGAATGTTACCAGTGCTAGGAACTCCATAATTGGAGAAATCTTATAGACACCCATAATTGGTCTTGATGAGGCAATCCGAAACAGGGGGATCACTGAAGATGGAAGCAGAAGAGCTACCATAACCTGAGCAAAGATTAGCAACTGATATATCCCTCCAGCTCCAGAAGTCCAAACACAATAAAGAGCTGGCACGATTGCTATAATTCGAATTGTTGCACGATGAAGCCAACCCGGTATGTCAAGCCCAAGGAAATCATTCAAGACTACTTGCCCACCAAGATTCCATGTTGATGCAGTGATTTGATTAGATAAGAACATAACCAACAAAAAGACTAAGGGCATCATACCATTCCTAAACACCTGTTTTAATCATTTTTGAAAGGAATTTATTAATGTCCACACATAAATTGAATTGTTGAGGAATATTTAAGCATGATTCTTAAAAGCCATCATAACCAATAGCTTATCAGAAAAGAGAAAAAACCTGTTCCATTAGTGACATTGCATCCTGAAAAGTAACCAAGACATCGCCTGCATTGTAGAACACATTTGCAGCTGAACTCATCCACACGAAATTTACTAGATAAATAACGCTGAAGACGCTTAAGATCGCAAAAAGATGATAGTGACATAAGGCACTCTTAGAAATATTTGGTGGTCCCTGATGCTGCTGTGAACATGAGAACAAAATTTAAGAAAATTTACAATGAATCACACCATCACTTATAAACTCCAGAAAAGTGCAGAAGCATACAGAACCAAATGAATTTGCATGCATAAAATAGATAAGATGCATAAATTTGTGCCACAGTTTGAGAATGGTATGCCTATAAAATTTAAGCATGGTGTGATAAACATCAACCTAACTTACATTTGAGAATGACGTCACAAGTATAAAACCCCGTCATGTAAGAAAAAAACTAGTAAAGCAACAAAAACTCCAAAAAAAACCAGCAAACAGCATAAAACAATCCACCTCGTTTACTCTTTGCAGCCATGCCTCAAATACAACAAGGTATGCAACATGATCTACAAAAAGTGACTTTGGCAAACAGGAAGAAAGAAAACTGGAAGAAAATCGTGATAACTATTACTTTGAAATACATGCAGTAAAAATATGATTCACACATTCTAAACAGGTTGCCATATAACAAATTCAGGCTAAAGCAATAATGAAAACAGCAAGTGGTCTGAAAAATTATATATTTCTAATAAGCAAGAAAAACAAAGGCTAAAAATCTAAACAAAGAATAAGAATTGACAAGAGAAAATCAACTTAAGTATTAGTACAGTTGAGCCAAAATCAACTGCCAGCTTATCATATATATTAGTATGATGTTGTTTCTCCTTCATATAAATGCCGACTAAAAGGTTCTATGAATCAGATCTTATAACAGTTCAGGTGGATAGCAGTATTTTACAGCAGACATATATTCAAGTTGGATACAAACTTCTCACTAATATTATCATCTCAACAAAAATTAATACTTGCCAAACTTAAGGTTCAGTTTAGCTGAATGAATAAAAACTCGAAGTAATAAAGAAAAATATAAAAAAAAAAAAACTCAAGCACGATAAAAATTATACATGCTTATCAATGGCATGAGTTAAAAACATATACAAACACCTTTGAGTCAGAATGCGGGGAATCAAAAAATTACAAGGACATCACCCACGCGCAAAGATTCTAAAAAGGCTTCTAAAATCCAAGTATTGTCAGAAAATAGCAGATTGTTAGTGAAAATAAATTTCCAAACAATAAAGGATTCCCCAGTCCATTGAAATCCAAAATAAGATGCCCATACACAAGAGTCATGTACATACACACATATACACAGTCCAACGAGAGGTACCTGAACAATAGAAGAATGTAGATAAAAATTGTGAGGCATGATGCTTGCTCCAAGGAGACTCATCAGGGCAAATGCATTCTCCCCGCTCAACTTTGCTAGCATCCCAGTCATGGAAAGAGAAATTTCTGGCTGACTGATGAGTACTCCAGAAATATAAGAAAGCAATACGAAACCCGCTGCATAGATGCATAGCAAACTTGCCCTGCAGTGATCCTAAATATTGAAAACTGATTAGATTGCTGATGATATTGCAAGAGAAAGATTGAGCAATAAAAGAAACAGTTCAGCTTACCAGGAGAGTGGCAAAAACTGGGAATAAAACAGCATCAAGACCAGCTAAAAGAATACCAGTGGATAGATCGACCCCAGAGAGAAGATTAATCCCATGTGCAACACCCAAAACCTGGTAAAATAAGGACATTTGTTGTGAAAATAAACAAATATCATTCTATAAAGTACAAATCATAAATTACAGCGGCCTTTGTTCCATCATAATTTGGTAAAGGCAGCCAAGTATTATAGAAGCTCATCAATGAGAAAAATACCATGGTAAGGTCCAAAACAACCACAGAAAGCTCTGCTTGAACTCCTAAGAATATACGAGTCAACTTGTCATACTCATCACTGCAAATCTATCATCACCAAAAAGTTATAAAAAAATAAGTACCATGAAAAGAGCAAAAGAGACATCACAAAAACACACACAGCACACACGAGCACACACATCCCTATGCACATAAACATCCCTGATTAATTGATTATAGATACACACTTAATTATAGATAAATAAGCATGCACACAAAAAAATATAGTTTTGACACTTCTTAATCTAGGTGGGAAAAATGATTAAACAACTTATATTTGCAAAAATAACTACATTATTTTGTTACTTCTTTTACACTTTTATAAGTACATGGGTAAAAATAATAGGCTGTCAAAGAAATTGTGTCTTATAAACAGAATAATTCCTAATGTTTTATAGTTAAAAAGAACCAACTTGGCCCTGTCCTCTACATTCATTGCTCTCCAATATTTTCTCATTTACAATATGTCACATATTTTTCATTGTAGTCAGCACTGATTAGTTGGTACAAGCTCTATTGGGTTCTCTCTCTCTCTCTCCCTCCCTTATGTAAGTGATAAAATCACATGAAACAACCATACAGCCAAAGAACAGGAGAAAAAATTCTTGTAATAAGCACAAGCACAAAAAGAATGAACTGTACCTGAGCAAGATCTCGTCCGGTCACAACACCAATTCGAGCTGACAGGTATTGACACAAAATGGCGGCACAATTAAAAAGAACCATGGGGGCCACCAGATCAAAACCAAACCGTGCACCTCCATCAACAGTCACAACCCACTTTCCAAGGTCAACATATCCAACTGATATTAGAAGAACAGGTAAAACAACAGGAAGCATCTGATGAAGAACATCTGATTGGTGGTTAGTGTTCCCTGTCTCAGCTTCCATGTTGTTAAGTAACAATTTGGATGATATACAAGTTACAATGCAGTACAGAATCTAAATAACTCTTCAGAATAAATAACCTCCAAAGCTCAAGAAGATGCACAATTACATGGTTGCTCAAAATTACTGAATCTCCTGTGGAGAAATGCTGCAGCAGGACATTAGTAACTTATTTGACTAAACATGATTTCCCAAGATAAAGCAAAAAATCTGGTCCATTTTCTCCAAAGCTTGCTAGCAAAGGAATGTACATCTAACAAAAGCCCAGGCACAGCAGGACTAGCGGGCATCTAAAATGCACGTTCTCAGAATCATTGCCATGGCAACTGCTACCAGAGCGAAATTCCAGCCCCAGCTGCAATCAGGAGATATCAACCTAATTCTTGCAATCCTATCCACTAACACACTACTGTTGAGACCCTATGTAATTTCCTGGCCATGTCCCTGATACAAGTTGATTATTCCAATTCATGCAGGACTTTTACCAATAACTTGAATCAGCATAAAATGACAAATAGTCTCAGCTGCAATCCAAGAAAAAGAACAACAAATAATCCAAACAAATTCCTCCTTTGAAGGCACCTGCTAAGTCAAAACCTGTCTCAGATCAGTCAAACTGGATAATCTAACATCAACCTTAGAATATAAACAAAAGACAGGGAAATCAAAGTACCAAAATCAACATCTAAAATAAAGTACAATCAAATTGTAGTATAAAATCACGATTAAGCCATTTGGCTAAGCTTCAAAACACAATATGTTCCAAATCCAGAGACAAAATCATCAGCAAGTCCATATGCAGTGAACCTAGTATGTTTCAGCAACCGGTATAGTTAACCAGTGCTTTCACAAGAAAAGAAAAAAGTAAACTGTGAATTAATTCAAGCAGGCAAGCATTAAACATCATCACAAATTTACTTTCCAAACTAAGTTTCACCATTAATGCAAATCAAATAAAGATCAGTACACAAAATAAATAACCAAAATGAATCTAATAACAACTCCATCCAAAACCACAAACCCCAAAAAATCCCACACGAAAAATGCAAAATAAAACCTTAACTTAAAAACCCAGCTCAGATCTTACTAAACATCACAAAGCAAGCAAAAGTGCAAAACCCCACCCAAAAAAAAACCCCCCCAAAATGAACTAAACACCCAGGAAGCTAAAATGAATAAAAATCAAGTTCCATGGATCTGATTCAGCTGAACTTAAAAAAAAAAAAAAACGTTTTGCACAAATTCAAGGTAGATTTACATAAAAGAAGAAACCAAAAACCAAAAACCAAAAAAAAAAAAGAAATTAAACAAGGAAAGCCTAATAAAAACATAATTGGATTAGGGTTTTGAGAGGTAAAGAAATGTTTTGATTTTACCTTACGGTAAAGTTCATGAGAAGGTTGTTTTCTTGAGCTTATCTACTATCCTTTTCTCTGCAATCTCTATCTCAGTTTGAGTTTTGACAAAGTAGATCTTAAGAAAGAGGCCTTTTCCTCAAACCACGGCTTGTTTCTTCTTCTTCACAAACAGAGAAAGAGAGAGAAAGTGAGAAAGAAATAGAGAGCTCAGTTTTCAGAGAGAGATAGATATTTATATATGATTCAAGGGTGTGGGCTCTTTTCAGCCATGTTGAAGAGAGAGGAAATATATATTTTAAATATAAAAAGGAAAAAAGAAAAGTTTTACCGCTAATCAAAGCTAAGAAATCGAAGAAAAAAAATATGTTAGAAACCCCTAAAAGACAACAATTCACGTTTTCTTTTTCTTTTTTTATTTTCTTTTTTATGTCTATAAAATATCATAAATATAACTTTTCTATTTTTGTCCTTAATTAAATATCTTTTAATTTAAAAAATCCTTTAAAGGAATTTTTTCTTATAAGATACAAAAAGATTACTTTTTTTATTTTCTGAATTTGAAAATTTTTAATTTTTTAATTTTGAATGTTTTTGTTATTGATAGCAATTATATATATGATTTGTATAAATATGGTAATTTTAAATATAATAAAATAAAATATATTTTATATTTAATATGTTACACGAATTTTAATAAAATAATATTTGTATTTATATATTTTATATTATAAGCATAATACTATATAAATTATTAAATTTATTTAAATGAAATTTGCACTTTTGGCTTCTAATATGTAACAATAATTGAGTCCAACCAATGTTGCTTTGGCTTTTTTTACCACTAGCACGCCTCCATGGGACTTCCTGTAGCTTTTTTTGTTTTTTTTTATTATTATTTTAGGCAAATTTTAAAATAAATAAATAAAAAGTGATCCATTCTAAATTTTACCTGAGTTTTGAATCATATAAAGTCATTTACATTAATTAAAATGAATTAAAATATAAGAATATATCATTTTTAAAAAAGAAATAATAATAATTCACACAATATATATAGCATAAATTTCTTTAAAATTTTGAAGAATAATGGTTTTTTTTTTTTATAAATAATTTTAGAACCCAAGGAATTTTAATTTTAAAACAAGTTTTTATTGTGAATAACCCTAGATATTTTCAACTTTCAGAGGACTATAAATCAAGATCAAGATATTTTCTTTAATGATGTGTTCATGTAGATTTAATTATTATCAAATAAAGTTACCATCAAAACAAAAGCAAATTTTTTTGCCTTTCATATATTAATGTTTCCTAATTAACATTGGGAATCCTATAGATATTTATTTTATATAAGATATTATAATATGTGAATGTAACAGGAAATAAATATATCAAGAATCTAATTTATTATATGATTGTATAAATCAATTAAATTAAGTTTCGAAATTATTTTATAAATATATTTTTTTAGATATTTATACGATTATTTTAAGTAAATAATTAATAAACCAAAAATTTTTCTTAGGAAAGATAATAAATTTTCATATCCCAATTTTAATTTTAGTATAATCTAACAATAAATTAGGACAAATTTAAGATATTTTGTAAGGATTTATTACTGCGATAAATAAGGAAAGAATATAAGTTTCTTTTCTGGGCAAGCCTAAAACTGTATTATGATTGTCTGAGAAAACAAATTAGCTGATGCATTATTGTTTTGACTTGTGGAAGATACTACCAATCTTTATTTTTGTAATCAAAGCACATGCTGCTTAATGGAAATGGGTCCCCCTAAACCCTAATGGCCTCATCCCCAAAAATAACAAAAAATCAAACCTTGTAAGCCAGATTTAGATGTAGCCTTTCAACATTATCCAATTTGTATTTGTAAAAATTGTCACTTTCATTTTATTTTTTTTTACTTGTAGATGAAAAAATTTAACGTAAATATGTACATTTTCTTTTTATTTGCATTAAAATACGAGAAAATTTTTAGAAAATAAATAATTTAAACATTAGTTAAACATGAATTCAATGTTTTATCTTTGAAAAAGAAATTTGTCTTTAAGATTGTTTTAAAAAAATTAGATTCAAACTAAAAAAAAAAACATAACTCTATTATAAAAAAAATGAAATTTTGTGACAAAATAATTGAAGTGGTAATGATTTGTATTGGAATGAATTGCCCTAGAAAATGGGAATAATTGAATAATTAATAAGAAAAGTCTGATTTGTGGGTACAGGTACCCTAAGAATATAGGGTCACCTCTTATAGGTAAGCAGTTAATGATCATCTCGAGGAAGCAAAGTAAAACTTGAATGCTAAACAATTTGACAAGAAGCCGCAGATAAAGGTAAAGTACCATTTCAGTTCACACTGCACACCCAATACCAAGTGACAAGGCCTATAATTGATAATCCACCCACCAAAAAGTTATTTTTTTTTTTTGTAATTTTATTTTGGAATGGATTTGGATATTCACTTTTTAGTAACTTTTTTCATTATGGGAATAAAAAATAAAAAATTATTGTAGTTAATAATTTTGACATGGACCCAACAAAAAAGGAGGAACAAAGCTGACACCATCTCTCTTTCTCCAAGTTTCTATGGACATGCCAGCCTGATCTAGTCATTGGAAATTCAATACATCAAGCAACGGTTCCCTTATCTGCAACTCTATTTTTGTTTCTTATCAATGCAAATATATATATATATATATAATATTAAAAAAATAAATTAATCAAACATGTAAATGTGACAAACTGAAGCAACCAAGATTTTTAAACAAGATGAACATGTTCAATGAACATTGATAATGTTATTACAATCCTTGTTAAATTGATTATTAATTAAATTCAATTTCAGCAGATGGGTTGGATGAATACCCATTTTTAAACAGAACAATTACCATTGAAAACAACAAAAAATTGTGTAATTTGACAGCTTAAAAAAGTTGCATTTAAGGGAGACAAATTCTCCATTAATGCCAACAGGGTTCAGATCACTATGCTGCCAAAAATCTAGTTTATTTACTTTTGTTTACTAGATTGAGATTTTTATGGTTTTGGGGATCCATTGAGAGGATGTTATATGAACTTAATTTATGTTCAGCTCCTGGTATCAATGGTAGTCCCCTCCATGGCTTTGGTTCATTGCATCTCACTTGTTTAACTTAAACAAACCAAGCATTATTAAATTCTTTTGATGACTTTAATTTTGATTTTGGTATTTTTAATTGACTCATTAACATGTGAAACATCCTAAATTTTATGCTTGATGAAGTACCCTAGCTCATCAACCAGGAAACCTCCAAGCTTAATTCTATTTTGAAAACCCGAATTATAATGAAATATACAAAAGTTAACTTTGAATCTGAAATTCAGTTCAATTATTTCACGTAATTAAATTTAAAATGTAATATTTAATAAACTTAGAATTTAAATTTTAATATCAATAAATTTTTTTATTCTCATATTACATTTTTTCTAACAAAAGAGAAAATTATTTTTTGTTTTTTGTTTTTTTATATAATTTGAGAAATAAAAGATTCAAACTTGAAATTGTTTATAAAATTTAAATCTTTTTAACATATTCTGGTCTCCTCTCAATCCATTACATTCAAGAAGAAAAAAGAAAGGGATAGAAGTTCATAAGTCCTTAGTCTTTGGTCAAGCCGAATTTATGATTATTTGCACGCTATAAGATTTCATGCTGGTAAATCCATAAAAGTCCAAATAAGCATATATTGAACTGACTTTTGAATGAAATCCTTTATGCCTAGTAGCAACATCCAAGGAATTCATGTGAGTAAATTTGAAAAAGTTTAGGAACTTCAGCATCTACAAGCTAATTAAATAAAGTTACATGATCCCCAACCATTGAAAAAAGCTGACTACAAAATGGGAACAAGAACAACATTTTGATAGTGACAAGAGTTAAAATACACTTCTTTATTAAAATTGTCGTGTTAGCTTACTTTATTTGGTAATTGGCTAATGACACATTCATTTAGGTTCTATTTGGATAGATAATAGATTAGTTATAATAAAATTAAAAATAATAATAATTATTATTATAGTTGTAATTAAAAAAAATTTAATAAAAAATTTATGATGAATAGATTTCATTGAAATTAACATTTAAATTTTATTATAATAATTGAAGTTTAATTGTATTTTATTGAAAGTGCAATTCCATCCAAACATTCACTTAATGATAATAAGTAGATTCTAAAATTTTTTATATTTTATTCAGTTTAGTATTGGATTTGTTCGATAGTGTTTTTTTTTATTTAATTTAATAATTTATAATTTTTTTTAATATTTGTAATTTTATAAAAAAAAATCCTTTGGTAAATTGAATTCATTTGTAAAAACTACACGTCCATTGACCTAAAGTACCATTCGTTTTCAATTGGAAAAAAAAAAACACAGTTTGGTCACGTGAAACACTTTAAAGTTCAATGAATGCAAACAAAATCATCAACATCTTGTTAGCTTTTCTTTCTTGACTTATCAATCAAACTGGTTAAACCAATCAAGATCGTTAGAGGGTAATTGGAAGAGTAAAGTTCGGGTTAAATCATTTATAATTTTGATTTTTTTTTTCTTTTATTAAGATTGGTGATAACTTCCATTGAGAAAGAGATCCACTGCATTGGAGTCACATTTGAAGGCCAAATTGTATGAAATCCTGAAGTGAATTTTAGCTCCCAATAGTGACTCCAACGCAATGAGAACGACCCTATTACGAAGTGGAAAAAAAAGTTTTATTATATAAATCAAATATACAAAATTTTAAAAATTTTTATATATTTTTTTATAAGTATTTTTATTAAAAATTTTGATAAATTTTTATCATTAAGTAAGAATTAATCAAATTTAAATGATATATAATATTTAAAATTTTTTATATATTATTAATATTCTCATTTAACTCTATTAATTTTCAATTTAAAATTTATATTAATGTTTTTATTAAATTTTTTTATTTAAAAATTTTATGAATTTTACTTAAAATTTTTTTTTGTAAGTCTTTGTTCATTGTAAGGTAACGGATCACTTGGGGCTCTAAATTGAGCTGAATTTTTTCTAATTTGAATGGTTAGATATGTAGAGCTTAGATTCAATTTTAACACTTAGCCTCTTAGAATAAACCTCTTAGACAAGACTTGATTTGACTATTTAATTTTTTTTGCCATTTATCTATTATTTTTGCCTATATTGTTTGAAGTTCATGTTATATAAATTAAAATTTTGAATATTCGGTGATTAATTTAATTTTTTATTTTTTTATACCAAAAAATCATATTTAATAACAGAAAAATGAAATATCGTGTTGAGATTTAAAATTTAAATTTGTAATA